TTTTTTAATTATAAATTAATATACAAAAAAAAATATTATAATCACTTAATGTTATTAAAGGGAAAAAAAACAAAACTGAATTTTATTTGATAATTATTAATGAAAAAATGTGACCACCAATTAAAAAATTAAAATGGATAAATTTGTCAATAAAATTAAAAAATTCTAATCCATTAGCGGTTTGGTACAAAAAGTTACATAAACTAGCTTTTTCAATCTGCTAACGATTTGGACCCTAACCGCTATCCGCTAGTTTCAAACCGTTAAATAAAAATTTTACCAAACACTTTAATTGTAGTGGTTTCGAAATATATAAATTTACCAAACATCTATATTTAGCGGTTTAAGTAAAACCGCTAACCGCTACCTCAAAACCGCTATACCAAACGGGGTCTTAATTTGACTTTTTACCTTTCAAATATGAATTTTATATGAAAATTTAACATATGAAATAAATGATAATGTTAAATTTTTATCAATTAAAAATACTTGATAAAAACTTCATATAGGAAAAGAAACATTTTAATTGTTATTTATATTCACCATTAAATGGGTTCTTCCGGAAATACAAATCAAACCTGAAGCACAAAAAAAAAGAAAAAACACCAAACAGATACCCATTGTAGCACAATTTTGAAAAGTTGAGTTGTGGGACAGAGACAATAATAAGCAGAAGATACAACTCACACGGCTCGCTCGTTGGGTTTGCCGGCCTTCCAGTAAGAGTAAGTCATGGTGAATTGGTAAAGATCCGTCAAGAGAGGTGTTACAATGGGGTTGGAGGGTCCTTCAACGACCCAAGCAGGTTTCCTCGTAGGACCGTTGGCTTTCGCCTCCATTGCTCAATATCTTACAATATAATAAAATTATATAGCTTATAATAAGATGTATCTTTAAATTTTAGGTGATATTTGAATCTTTTTCTTAAATTGTAATTCATTCAAAAAGAACTGTGTAAGATTAGTAAATGAGAACATTAAAAAATGAGATCACGTATTAATATAAATAAAAAAATATCATACAATTTAAATTATTATAAATTATATAATTTTATCTATTAAAAGGATAAATTTATGATATTAGAGATTTTTTTAATAATTTTTATTATATATATATATATTTTTAACGTTAAAATGGGACTCAAACCCATACTTCTAAATTTGTATGGGAAGTCTTTATCAAGAGAATGATGATTACTAAATCACTAAGACGTTTTTTTATTATTTTATAGTTTAGTTAGACAATAAAATAAGAAATTTTAATAAAAATCATGTTACAATGTAAGAGATTTTCTTTTAACATTTATTTTACATTAATTTTTGTTTTTTTTTAAAATTATTTTTATGTAAAAAAATATTAAGTACACACCTCACATTAACATAATATATTTAAAAATATTAATTTTTTATGCTAAACAAATGTCACATTAATTACATTTTAAAAAAATAGTCAATTAATTATTTTCCAACTTTTTATACCCACCATAATACACTTTCCTTTTTCGTGGATGTGATTATGTTTTCTGAATTTAGAAACAAAAATAATCATTCCTTTCCACAAAATTAGTTTTGTTGTCCTTATCAGAAAGGTTTGTGGCAGACTTGCAGTCCATTCTACATTATTGCGAAAAAAAAAAAAAGCTCCAAAAATGGGGAGGCGCATATCATATGGTATCATATCAGAAAGCAGAAGTTGGCCACACCTTACTTATTACGGTACTTCTTTTTTTTTTTAACAATTGTTTTAAAGATTAAAGCTGGCAAGGAAACTGATGGCGTCAGAGGCATGGGAAGCCTCCAGAATTCAGCAATTTGCCAAGTTGTGCAGCCTTTCATTGTTTTTGTGGTGCCCCAATTCAACGTCTAAAAATGAGTACGATGGTGTGTTATATATAATTGTAAATATTGATTCTTATTAATAAATTTAAGTTTTTTAAACTTAGTTTTTATAAGTTGAGTTGTTAGTTTAATGATAAATTTCATATTGGATTGTTTTACTTTTTAATTAATTTGTTCTCTTCTTGTAGTTATTATTGTTGTATATTGAGGAAAAAACAATCTCATAAAAAATATAATAAAAGATATGAATTAAATATAAAAAATATTACTTTATTTATTATCAATTAATTTTAAATTAAATATAAATTTTATATTACCAACGTGCACAATTTTCACACTTAGAATTAAAGAAATACAAATATTATACTTACCACGTGCATAAATTTCACACTAAGAGCTTAGGCTCCATTCTTAAAATACTAAGGTTCAATTCTTAAAATGCCCGCTGTTAATAGGCTCCATGCCTCCATTCATAATATGAATGAGACAGCAGGCTTGTTAAACCACCTACAAAATTTTCACATTGTCATTATCGCTCATGTCATATAATTACATCATTAATTATAGTAGCACATAAGGTTGTGCCTAATCTCATTCCATGTTAGCTTTCTTCATATATTAAGATGAAATATTTAGAGTCTATTTCAAGGTCTTTTATAATTCTGGAAAATACACCGGTAAACTCTTGAGAAGGGATCTGAATCACTAGACAGGAATGAAGTGCACAGGGGAGATGGGTATTTCAAGAACAATTGGCTACATGCTCTTAATCATGAATAATGGAAAGGAAATCATCTGAATTTGCCTGCCGAAATTAGTTGGTTGGCCATACATGATACTAACTGGGTGGCTTAATAATTGTAATGCATTTCACCTTTTCATTATTAGTTGTATAATAATAAGGAAATGGAACATACTCAGCCCCATTCCAATTTGTTGCTATTGCAAATTATCCGGCCGTACACACGATGAGCAATGCCCCACAATCCACGGACATAAATTTTGTCATGTAAATGAGAGGAAATGCAGAGATCTCATACATATGGAACTGAGTAGGTACTAAATTAATAAAAGTGGAAAAAGAACATCAAGAATAGTTTACTTCAGTCCTCCATTTTAGTCCCAAGCATTCCCCAGTGCATTGACAAGTTAATGCTCAAGTGCCACTTCATGGTTAAATAGGCAGGTTAAAATATGGCATTCACTTCCAATGCTTACTAACTCAAAAAGCTTAATACCGTACCATTAATCCAGCAAATTCAAAAGTTTGGTCTTTCTGCCTTGATGTCATTGTTGGGTGAACTTCCTGCTTCCATTCTGCTAAAACATAGATCGAGAAAATGAGTCACGGATAAAATGAGTTGTTAAGGGGAGCTCTCACTCAGGTAACTAACTAAAGTTACCTTGTTAGGTGAGAAGAGAGTATAAGATTGTGCTCGATATTCTTCAAGAGCACACCCTCTGAATGGTCACTTCCAATTAGATCAGATTCACTGAAGGGGAGTGAAGCTGAAATTGTAGTTCCCATGTCAAATTCTTTCAATAGAGTTTTTTCAGGAAGAAAAAAAAAAAAAAGGCTTAAGATTCTAAGATTCATGGATGCCAGAGAAAGGATCCCGCAGCACTTCCTGACATCTTGCAAGCAAAATCATGAACTGAGTTAAATAATGGAAGTTTAGATAGCCTACCTGATGGATTTGCCTTGGAATGATTCATGTTTAATTGATGCGGCAGAACGTCTTCCCTGCAGATGCCCTTCAAAAAGGATAATGTAAGATTGATAACTAGTATCATTACCCAACCTCAACATGCATTATTGCTAATGAGTACCATCAGCTATACCTCAGATGATGTGAGAAGCTGAAAGGACCCAAACTGAGCCTGGATTGATGATTCCAATCCATATGAAGTTTCTGGATTAATTAGACTGGGAATATTATGGACTGGTAGATGGTTTGAGACAGTGCATTGGTTCGGCAGACTGAAAATAGTCTGTCCTCCAGCTCCTTGGTTCATGGGAAGCGTGCCTGATGAATTCATATGCAAAGATTCATCTTCCTCAGCAAAAGCAGCTCTTGTCTGAGAAAGTTGGATGGGTGGTAATGCTCCAGGTAAGCACATGGGGTGCAAGCTTAATCCATTTCTCATTGTTAACATCTGAAATGTGAAACACAGTGTAAACAAATCAGGAAAAAAAGAAAGAAAGAAAAGAAACTTGATATAATATCTCTGTTTCGTGATTGCTCCATATCTACTTTGTACTTGTGTCCAAATTAGTAATCTCAGGACGAGTAGAGGAAGATATTAATGGAAATAAACATCCAGAAACCAAGATGAATGAAGGTTCACGTATCAAGAAAAACTCAAATTTTTATGCTTTATTTGGCATTTCACTTTAAACTTTATAGGTAAGAGCTTACAGTTTAACCTTAAACATATACGTCATCTGGTGAGCATAGTTGCACCATTATAGCAACATATCATAACAATACATAACAGAATACTAGTTTCAAGCACTAACATTCATACTGACTCACTTTCTTTGCTTTAACCTTCAAGCGGGACAAAGAATGGTTTTATGCTTGAGAGTTAATGAACCAGACATGTCATAAAGGCTTAATTCAAGCAAATTTACTTACACAGATAATCATCATCATACCAATAGAAAAATAAGAACAGATGATTCATGCCAGTGGAATTCATTTAGCATCTCTTTGTGAAAGTCACGAAGCATGCATGCCATACCAAAACACTATTCATTTCCAACAATTTCTTTTGATTTGAAAATGGTGCAGTATCTAAACATATCAGCCCACAACCATTGGCATTGCAATCTTATAATTTATCACCAATCTCTTATACTATTTAAGAGAATAAAAAGAATATTATCTGAAACAAGTTTCCATGGTAAAGAACACCACAAATTGCAAAGTAACGGCTGACTTGATGAACGACTGAAGTTCTTATGCAAGGGAAACATAATTTGGAGAAAATTAGGAGGGTTCCTAAAAAGGTTCAACCAGTAGCAGGACAGGGGCGTGTTGTGGCAATCATGGCAATGTTAGATGTTTAGAGGGATTAACCCAAATGTTCCATCTTAGTCAACATTGATGAGAAAAATTTCACAACCTGCCAATCCTCAGGGCATGCTTTTCTCAGATAAGTCATTGCCTTCACATGGTGTCTCAATTGAAACGAGGAAAAACATTTTTATCATATCATAATCAAGCAAAGAAATGTCGCACTACAGCTACCGGATACAGAGTCACTTTGCAAGGAGAGTAGCCCCTAACTGATACATGGAACATGAAACTTAAGCTTTTTATGTTCATCTAGACTAGTTTCACAATTAGAATATTGGATTAGAAAGTAAGAACACAAAGATACAGAATCCAAAAGCTCTTACTATGGAAACCATGATGCTTTTTGGTTTAGGGAAGTCCACAAACCTGAACTTGAAGCTGAAGCTGCTTAAGGTACTCAATAGCTTCATCAAGCATAGAAGCTTTATCCGTCTGCCATGAACAGAAAACTCAATCACTCAACATATTACCAATCAAAATTTACCTCATAATTGGAATTAAAAACTCAAAAGACATACCTTGTTAGAATTTGGAATGAGATTTTGCAAGGCTTTCATTTTCTCATTAATCCGACTCCTCCTCCTCTGCCACAAACAAACTCACAAATCAAAACCCACAAGGAAGAACACCACAAATTATAGCAGCCCTGATATCAAAAAGGCTAACCTTTTCAGACAAATTATGGACCTCTGCAGCTCTGCTTCTCTTTGATGAACCACGTGATGGAGCAGGCTTAGCCGGTGCCTCATCCACCACTGCTTCAAGATGTTCCTGCTCCCGAAAAGGAAAAAATAAAATAAAATCTAAACTTGAATCTCTAGAAAACGTCTCAATATTCTTCCCCCTCTCCCCACATTTTCTCAGAAACCAAACAGACCAAACCATAATTTGAGACCCACCTCATTCAGAAAAGAAAACAAGAAGAAGGTAAGAAGAAAGTACCTCGCTTTCACAGTCATACTCATCAGTATCATTCTCACTACCCCCAACCGAACAAGACCCTCTCACATCCCCCAACAACCCAGCACCCGATCCCCAGCCCCCCCGCTCACACCCATCAACACCCATGATCACCTGCTTCATACCACCACCAGGAGAGTAAGAGTTATTCCCTCGGGCCTGCGGGCCCCCGTGGGCCATAGCCGTCGCCGCAGACATAGAAGACGAACGGACCAAAATCTGACGGACAAAATGCGACATATCATCGGAAGAAGACCCACTACTGTAATGAAACATGTTCATGTTATCCCCCATTTTTCCTCAATTTCCGCTTCTCTTCTTCCTCCTCTGGCTTTTCTCCGGTTCTGTTGCTTCAGCTGTCTTGTTCGGACATCAACCAAAGTGTGATTCGCAGGAGCTATATAGGATTGCGGGCGGTGGTGACAAAATGGTGGTTTCTGGTTTCATAAAACGCAAGTGGCTTACTGCCGGTTTCACGGCAAATGATTGAGCTGTCAAAGGAGAACGGTGACCGGATGAAAAGAAAACAAATTTTACTTTAATGTGTGTCAGGTGAACTCCACTCCCTGCGCACGTGAGGACGGACACTAATTCATGGGATTATCAATTAATTAATCCTTTCCTCGCTTAACCAATTGTTTATTAGTTTTTTTTCTATATATTCTCCTCCTTCATGATTTCATCCGTACAGATAGTTTTCTATTTGTTTTATGCCATTTTTGAGCTTAACATTGATCCGTACAAAAAAAACAGAGACATAAGAGATTTCTCTGTTCTGTATCCTTTCCTATCAGTGTTTTTTTGGATTTTATTGTTAGAATTGGAAATGAAACATTTGTAAGAAGATATTGGTGTTTTCCATTGCAATAAACTGCATAAAAAATATTTTAAGTTTTAAAATTATTCAAATATTATAAACAAATCAAATAAAAAAAGGTGTTTTATATCGTTTTTTTTTTTATAATATCAGTATCTAGAATTTATTTATTTTAAAGTTTTTATTAAAAAAATATATTTTTGGTGCAAGAATTGGTGTAATTTTGTAGAGATAAATGAAACAGAAAAAACTGGAAGATACAGTAGGAAAGACGCCTCTCCAAATGATGTAACCGTGATGAGAGCAAATACATGGTTCGAACTTGGAATGAAGAAAAAGTGTGTTCAATATAATTTAATGAAAAATAAAATAAAGACAAACATGCCATGATAAAGAAAACAAATTAAATTTCAAAAATCAAACGTGATTTTGCAGTCTGAACTAAAATCTAAATAATGAGTTTAAATTGACCCAAGAGGCCAAGATGAAGAGGGAATATTAGTTAAATTTAAAGGTTCATTTAACAGGTGGCATGATCGAAGGGTTATCCGCGTTAACTACTTAGACTAGAAAGTACACATTCGAACCAATTTTCAAACGAGCTAGTTACCTCCCCTAGTGTAGTTTGCAGAAAGCACCAAAGCATCAATCAATGATTCTTTTGTACTACTTAGTGAGAGACGATTAGGTGAGACAGAAATAAAGATATCAAATTCCTTTGTATGGTCACTTTTACTTCATTTCCTATTTCAAATCAACGTACTTTTTTTGTTATGCTCAAGGTACTTACCCTTAATTTCATTATTCATAGGTAGGTCCTGACTTCAGACAACAAGGGTTAATTTAAAGAATTAGAAAGAAACAACAAACCCAGCTTGAACCAGTAGCATGGTCCCAACGAGGAGGATAGAAGCACTAACTCTATAATCACTTTCGTTGGTTGGAGTCCTCCATAGGGATACCAAGCTTAATACCGATGGTTTTGCCCTTGGCAATCTTGATTTAATACAAACAGCCAAGCAGGGGGAGTCTTTTAAGATTATCTTGGAAATTGGATTCTGGGTTTTGCCCGGAATGTTGGGTTCATTACTAGTCTCTCTGAATTATGGGCGCTCCAGGATAAGTTATCTTTAGCTAGGAATAGGGAATTAGTAAGTTTATTGTTGAAACTTGCTCTAGAGTTGCCCAAATCTTGCTGAAGTCACCTAATTATATTTATAATTCACTTGGTGTTCTAATTACTGATTGTAGGACGTTGATGAATTATATGCCCGGGAGAGTTTTTCATGTTTTTCGTGAAGCTAACTCTATTTCAACCTAAGGTGCTAAGTTTGGCTCTAAATTAGGTAGGCGCTTTTTGTTATTTTGGAGCAATGTCCTCCTCACGTTATTTGGTTTGGTGTATTATGTATTTGATGTCATACGTATCTCTCAACTAATTAATTTATGATATTATCTCTTCCTATCCCCGAAATTTAAAAAAAAAAAATAAAGGCCAAACCAGGCAGCGAAAGTTAATGAGTAAATAAAGCACCGCACATTCTCTGCATACCTCATCTTGAACTTGTTAATTAACTTATCAAATCATAAACTTTTACTTATATATTAGTCTTATTTTAAGTATATAATATTTTGGTACTTAAATTATATTAAATTATAAAATATAAATTATTAAATAAAAATTTTTAACATTAAATTTGAAAAACTTTTCATCAAATAATTTTTATTATTTTTAATTTAGAGTATTTTAAGCCGTAATATATTTTGTAAAATACTTAAATCCTGAACTTAAAAATAAAATGGGTGCAATTATTGATAAAAAAAAAAAAAACAAATTAAGAAAACAAAACGAGATTAGTTATCATGTAACTAAAACACAGGATTATGTTATGAAAGGTGGGTCGGAGAATCAGACCTCTGACTGTCTTGTCCGACCAAACGTCACCTTAGCCAGACCACTAATAATGTTTTTGCAATTCTTGCTTCTATCATTATATCTTTTTCCGACGAGGGCCGGCCCAGGCCCAGCCTTCTTTGAACTCAAAACTCTTACGTGGCACATCCCAATTGGCTGAACAGATCTCGTATCCATCTCCCACTACCCTACGCACGGGACCACCAGAGTATCTGAGTCGCCATCAATGACGTCACATCTCCGGATCATGGCAACCAGACACGGCAAGTAAACACCCGGTTTCCCCTTGGGTGGGGTCCATGGAGGCCCTTTTGGGGATAGTTTGATGTGGACGTGTCGGAAGGATAGGGTGGTGGTGCATGGGGATGTGCACCGGCAGCGGCCTGTGGGTGATCCGACGGTGAAAGATTGTTGGGTGGTCGATTCCAAAGGAAGCGATTTGATTTGTGGGCCGTGAAATTCATGGAAGCATATGTTCCCAAGGTTTTGGAATGCACGTGTCGTGTTCTTGATTATATTACATGTATATTTGTGATCTTGATTGTATTGAAGTGGATTACGAGGTCGATCGAACGGCATCAGACTGATGTGGATGTACACTCGAGTACACTGAATAGTTCCATCTGTCCCTTTTCTTTGACTCATGATTCTCATTATTTCACCCTGTAACTCTGTTCCGGAATGGCGGTATTCAATTGAAGAACTAGAAAACACTGAAAAGGTAAGAAAATAATCGATGATGTTTGGTTAAATCCCAACTTAGTCCCTTAACAGACTATACCGACTTCGAGTTGGTCTCTCTACTAAAATAGTTTTTTATTTAATTTTTAAAATTTAAAACTATAATTTTAAATTGATCTCCCCATTAAAAATTTACTAAGATTAATTGATGAGAAGTAGAATGACATGTTAAAAAATATTGATACATATGATTGACAGCATACATAAATCATAAATAAATGATATGACAAAAAAAATAAGAATCCCTCCCCCCCCTCCTACACCACCCCCAAATTTTCTTCCTCCCTTAACCTCATTCCCAAATTAAGGCCTTAATTCTTTCTCATCTCCAATCATCTTCCCTTTCTCCAATGACCATTTTTTTCATTTTTAGGTTAGCTTCATCAAAATTACCTTTGTCAATCGCCTGATTGGACATCCCATGTTCTTAAAACCTAGATTTGGGCTAACAATTGACTAAGAAGAGGATTGGTCATTGGATTCTTAACTTGTATTAATCAGGAAATTTCATTTCTATTGAAATTTTGAGATAATTTTAGTGTTTTTAGGTGCAATTGAAGTAGAAAGATGGAAGCTTTTATATCCAGGCTCTAGTTCATGTTATTCTAGCAAAGGACCACAAGATTGTGGTGGTAGGTTGGATAATGTGGGGAAAAAAAAATAAAGGAAATTAAGAAGAGGAGAAAGGTCTAGCGGGTGAATACAACGGCAAAATAGTCTTTTCATTATGTTTTATTTTATTGGTCAAAAAAATTATTTATATTTTCTTTTTAAATATTGGCAATTTGGCATGGCTATTTTAATTTAAAATGGCCCCTCAAATATCCAATAAGCAATAGTTAATGAATTAGTTAACAGATAGTTGTCCCTATTGTCAAAAAATTAATGAGGGATCAATTTAGAGTCAAATTATCAAATTTTAGGGACTGAATTAGAGATATTTTTTAGTTGAAGAATTAATTTGGAGACCCATATAATAATTGAGGGACTAACTTAGAGTTTAACCATGATGTTTTTACCGTTTGTTATCCAAACGTTGATATTTAACTGAGTGTTATTATTATTATTTTTTTTTTGGGGGGGGGGGGGGGGTGTTTCATTTTAACTGGCTGTTAATAACTTAATTGGGGTGTGAAACTCTCTCCAATGCGGGACATAGTTTTGTCTCTACACCCTTTTAGAGGAGAACAATGGAGAAGCACTCCAATTCTTCAGACTACTTTTATTCACCCAAAGGAAAAAGTATGATTTAGATTCCTAACTTTGAATGTGGTTTTTCCGTTGCACAGAGATGTAATATATGTCATTACAATAAGAGTGTAATAAATATAGATTTTATAATTAATTTAAATTTAAAATTAAATTTTAATTTTAATTTAAGTATTATAATTGATTAATTAAATAATTTATGTGCATTTGGCCCTTGAGGCCTAGTGGCATTAGTTATCGATGTATTTCTCCTGAGCAGGGTTCGAAACTCGCCCTTTGCAAAATATGTTCAAAAAATAATAATAATAATTTATGTGATAATAATATTAAAATAAATATTAATTTTAAAATTTTTTATATAAATTAATTATAAAAATATATATACATGTATGACATATTTGACAAATACTTATTCATAAAAATTTAATTATCAATTATATAATTTAATAATAAAATTATCTATACTTTTAATTATAAGTTTAAGATTTAACTTTTAAATTTTACATAAACAAAAAAAATATCAATAAGACCTTAGGTTAAGGACTTGAAGAAAATGCAATTGCAGTTAATTAAAGGTAGAATTTGAAAAAAAAAAAGAAGAAAAATTTAATTAATTTACAACAATAATTGCATTCCTTAGTTCTAGTGCGCCAAAGCGACGAAGTCGGTTCGCTCAAGTAGTCAAAGGCAATGAATTTGTGTGATGGGCTAGAGACACACTTCGTTTTGCAGCCTTAAATTCTGTCGCTACTGAGTAAGGAAATTCTCGCCATCATCTTGCCTGTAGGGAATTAAATCCATGTAGATATCATTCCATTCAGGAAATCCCACCAGAGATCGCAGGATAGAGAGAAAATTATTATCCCTGCAAAAAGGAAAGCTGCATACTTATCATCATCATAACAAACACAAAAAATATCTGAAAGCAAACATTGATGAGCACCTACTGCCCTCGCGTAAGTACCAGGCATTAGTAAACAAGATATTAACAATTTTAACAAATAATCTCGCCAAAAGATTTCACAATGTCGGAAGATGAAGAAAATAAGTCAATGAAAAACATCTGAATACATAATTCAAAATGTTAATACATCTCAAAGCAACCCTTAAAATGAAGGGCTGCATCCAATGTTTAGATGTCTCAAAAACCTCAGGATGATTCTTGAAAAAGATATTGCTCAAAAAAGATAGATCACAGCAGCTACGATCCTTCAAAGACTAGGAAGTCTAAAAGACTTGCCGATTCTTCCATCAAATGGCCAGAGCTCTATGTCTGCACATGGGGCATGAATTCTTCCTCAAAAGCCATTGTTTGATGCAATCGAAGTGATAGTCATGCATGCAATCCAGCTTCCCAAGAAGATCCCCTTCAGCATACTCATCCTGGGAAGGCAGAAACAGGAAAGGATTGAGAAATTAGTGTCCACAATCAACATATATCTCTAATCCACAGCAAGTATTCAGTGGCTCTTACCTGGCAGATACTACACACCCTGTGTTCCTCTGCCCCAGCTGCGGCAGGATGATGGGTTTCCCGGGTCAGATGTGCCATAATTGTGTCCTCGGTTAATCCATATTCAACGACTTGGATTTGCTCTACCTCATTTGCAATGATTCCGAGTTGCTCTCCCAGGGCATTTAGTTCCTAAATGAGAATATTGTTATATTAGGATCAACTCTTACCGAACAAATGACAAACTCTATGCTAAGTCATATTTTTCTCTAGCCTACATTTAGAAATTAGTACTCTTCACGTTTATAAAATCTATGTAAATGCAAAGTACTTGCAATAAAATTTTCTAATTTTCCCTCATAACTCATATAATTAACATCAAGAAGCAGATCTTGGTAAACATACCAGGGTTAAGATATGAAAACTACCCATCGATAGTTTGTGTCTACATATTGCCATAAATCAATGTAGCATTCTTTACCATAAGAATGAAAACAACTTTAACAGGAATAATTCACTTGATTTAAGAAAATTAGGAACTTGATTACAAACAAATGAATTAATCCATCTTAGACCTTACGCTTAAATGTTCGCCACCATCCCTTCTGAAAATGTCCAGGACTTCATGAATCTATTATGGCAAAAATAGGAGAATTTATGTCTTTGTTTAAAGATGGTTTACCCATAATTTTTAATGCGCAATTATATTTGAAATTTATTTGAAATTAGTATATTTGGTAATGGCACCAACTACGCGAATATTCAAATATGTATTGGTACTGATTACTCGAATATTCGAATATACTTGGTATATACTTTAGGCATATAAGGAAAGCAACTCAAAAAAAGCTATGATTTCTCTCCTATAAAATGTCATATCCTTAAGCCGTAACATGTGTGGTTATTAGTTAGGTGATCCATCCACCTTATCAAAGTTCTATCCTCTTTGATACCCTTTCCCTTTTCCAAAGTCCCCAATTAGTCTTCATCGTGCCTCAGGATTTCAAAAAAAGCTTTAAAGTGGTTTGAAGACTAAGGTAAGACTGTAGTTTCATTTTTTCCCATTGCTTTATTCATCTTCCTTCATTATGCCTCTTGAATTTTTGATATCACATTGCCTTTTTAAAGATGACGATTAGCTCACATCGCCATCCTTCACCCTCTATTACACACCAATTAAAATATAAATATCTCATGATTTAAAATTTAGTTAAGAAAATACTTAATTTTGTTGCCAAATGCTCTTGTAATCATCTTCTTCTCCTTCCTCCCTCCCAATAGAACCCCTGCAATTTTGTTTTTGTTCATTTTTTTTTTTTCAAATATAATCCCCATAATTTAGGTTTGAACTTATTTTCTTCTCTTTTTTGGTAAACTAGAACTCCTCCTCTCCTCTTTTCTTCTACTAAGACTAGAACCAGTGCTAGGTTTTCTTTATCCTTTGTTTATACCAGGTTTTCGTCATCCACCTAAAAATCCCCAAAGCCCAGAATTGAAAATCTCCAAAACTCATGCTTCCTTCTCCCTAGATCTAAATTGAATATGGAGAAGATTTTAGCATTAGGGATATAATCTTGAACAAGTGAGGGATAAGCTAATTCACAGTAGAAAATGTATGTTAATAATTAGATGACAATACGTGATTGAGTGTGTAAATTTACAGGTAAATATATCATTTTCCTTTTAATTTACCCATAATTTTTTATATTAAAACAAATTACTACCAACAAGAAAAATTTGTTTGTTGTTTAGTATGGTAAGTCACCCAAATCAGTTCCTTTTCTATTAAAAATATATAGAATATAAGGTTTATTTGTTGTAGCTACTCCTATGTTGGCCCTTAGCAGTTAATGCTCCAGAATAATTTTAGATTTGTTGGCTTTCTAAAAATATATTTTAACCGCAATTTTTTAGAAATAAATTCATCAACAAAATCATAAATTTATAAATTTATATATATGATAGCCTAATGAGTGTACCTCATTTATAAATCTTCTTCTCCTTTCAGTAGCAGAGGGAAGTCGAATGCGACGGGGAGGTCTCCTAACACCTCGTCTCGCAACTCTTTGCCTTGCCTGAGAAGAGCTGGCATGGCCACGTCTGATATTGGAAACTCTCCCCGTTTGATTTGTAGCAGCATGAAAACTATGCATGGGGTGGTAATGACCATGCGACTCTGATACATTCGCGATTAAATTCTCCATCATGTGCGAGTTGGCCCAATTTGTTTGGGGAAATGTTGAAGAAAACGGTGCTTGATGAGCCGCTGCAATAATTCCTGTGTCTGCCATGCTTCCAGCTCCAGGAAAGGCCATGTTCACATTTCCTTGCATGTTCTCCAAATATCCACGTTCAACCACTGGAGAATCAGAAGGATTATTCATGTAGCTAGCTCTCTCCATTGAGTTCATCTCTTGATAAAAACCACAAAACATGTTTGCCCCATTTAATTGCGTAGGACATAAATTTTGTAAAAAGTTATAGCCCTGAGCAATTCGCTGGGCTGTTGGGGTTTCAATGAATGGCACAGATGATGCACTGGCATAATTGACAAAGGGATCATGAGGGAAATGCAATCCTGGTTGGCTATGCTGCTGCATGTTAACACTGTTTGAGGGTAAAGCTGGTATGTAGTCTTGGAGGTCATTTGTTCTGCTAAAACGAACGTTTCTTCCATCGTTTTCTATTTGCTCTATTAGGTCAGAATTTAGGTGTAAAGGTGCGTATCTATTTAAGCTGCTGCAAACATTTGCTTGGGCAGCAACACCAAGTTGTTCACAGTTCTGAGCTTGTAGAGCAGAGCTTGAACTACCATCCAAAGACATATATCCAGAATCATCTTCTGGTACTCTTCTCTTCAATAAAAAATGCCTCCCATCTATTGAAGGATTTTGCATGCTAACATTTTCCTCCACTTCATACTGAGTTGTCCCTGAAGTGAGCACAACAGGGTTAGAAGGACTGTAAGTAAACGGAAGATTCAAGCCGATGCTACCCGATGGAGCACCAGAACTAGTAGCCCCTTGGAAGGTTAACGAGCCATAAGAACACTGATTCCATCTTAAGCTTGTGCTTCCTTCAAATGGAGAAGGTGATCGTTCCCTGGTCAAAAGATCAACATAACTGAAGCTGTGGCAAGGCTCCTCATTTAGATCCGGTTGACTAAGGGAGTCCTGTTGAGGATTGGGTGCTTCCATAAGCTGAATCAAGTTAAGGCTTCTAGGACCAGATCCATTGTTGAAGTAATAATAATTATCCCGGAAGGGATTAGAACTGATTCCCTCTCCCTGCATTTTTTCTAAGAAAAAACGACCTGAAACAATGAAGTGTATTAGAATTAGCAACGACACTTGTCTTTTGTGTTGATGAAGATTTATAATAACAAAGATGAATTCTACAATTTCATCAGCATAAGATCTCTTCTCTCTATTATCAGCTTCAAAACATTTTCTATATGTTATCTACCATTTTCTTTCACTTATAAGATTTAAGCATATCCAACTTAAATCCCAACTGAGCTCTTTACTTTAGCCTAGGCACTCTTAATATCTACCTCAGTATTCCTCATACATATACATTCAGCCTAAAGCTGTATGTGAACAGATAATTTCTTCATGTACAAAACTACTTAAAACACGAGGAAATCACAAAGTTTGTCACTAGTATCAAAGGCAAACACAGTTTATGAAAAGTATTACAAAAAGTAATGTGAAAGAACATGCGATTGGTCTACAAACACGATATGATTGATATCAGGTAACAAATTAAGATAAGAAGAAAACATTTAGCAAACTGAGGTAATTAATGGCATATAGGCATCTTGATATCAAAGAATAAACATCTAAGCTGTCATCATAAGAAAAAAGAGTATACACAGCAATACACAGCAATATTTAAAATAAAGCCAACATAGGAAGATGATGTAAACAAAACAAATAGCCCTTGACCCACAATCTTGTAACTGGTTATCAAAATCCCTAATCATTTGAAGAGAATATTGTGAAAAAGGATAAACATTGTTAAAAGCTAGAAAAAAAAGACCATGAGACTGTATCAGAAACTATGTGAAATAGTCCACAAGTGTGTGAAACTACAAGATTGAAGAAAAAAATGAAAATTAAAAAATGAACATCTTTGGCCTTTAATCCAGTAATGTATGCCTTAAAATGAAAAATGGTAACTACAACCAAGTAAAATGTGTTGCAGCTTTAGGATAGGTGGCAAGGTTCTTGTTAGCATTCAAGATCTAGCCCCAAACACGAACCTATTCACTGACATAAGGCCTTGCGATGCAAGACTACTAATACATGATCAAAGTGCTCGTGCAGCAAATGCGATTCTCTATTCATTTGGTTGTAAGTATTAGCAGTTAATAAAACATATAGTATATAAATAGATTTGGAAAATGGAGATTAAATTTTCTCATTGATGTTAAAGAATGTGGCTTTCCCTTTTTTTTTTTTTTTTTT